ATCTAACGTGTTTTAATAGTCTACGAGACCCTAGGAAGAAATTGAAAATTGCTTGTAAAAATAGAAAGTAATTCTTTAGGAAAATATTTGAAGAAATCAATATTTTTCGAGGACCACTTTTTTCAAACCATATTTCTCTTCTTTCCTTTCGGAATATGTTTTCTCATAAATAATGGACGCAACCTCTATACGTTATACAATGAAATATGCTTCAGTTAAACCGCGGAAGTGAAAAACAATTTTTATATTAAATCTCGTATATTCCGACCCCAAAGTCGACCTCTTGCGAATTCTCAAAAACCTCATTCTTTCATTTTTTACAAATCGGGTTTCCACTTCACGGGAAAACTTTCTATACGTTTGTTGTAGGGTTCTCTGAGATGTACCACGAAAAAAAGTTTCACTCCAAAATGTTCCGTATTAAGCTAGGTCCAGCCGAATCGCGAGTGTCGTCGCGCGCGTCGCGTTTAGCAAATTAAGAAAGCAAAGGGCTATTCGCCGCATTAAGGCCAACGCTCGGTTTCACGGTGGCCTAGTCCAGATTCGTTAACGCAACGAGCGCAAACAATGAAACGCGGCTCTTTTTCTCGGCTACGGTAATTCAATCGTGATTTCCAAGGGAGTAGAACGCTCAACGACAAACGTACGGAGTCGCGCACTGGCCAGGGGCGGGGACGGAGCGCAATGCGACGCCAGGCGAAACCAGTTCTCAGGATAAAAGCGAAGGAGAGAGAAGTCTGACCCCGGCACAGAGCTCCCGCGTCTACGGAGTGTGTTCGCTAACCTATCGCGATTCCTTTTCAAAGAGCTGAAGCTTCAAAGCGATACTTAATACCTCTTTCGATTAAACCGATATACAGTGGGTGTTGAATGTACTCGTACACCGATCAATTTCACCAAAAAATTCCGGGGAAATTATAGTTTCTTAACTTCTTTTTTTATAATCAATGATATTTTACATATTCTCGGAAGTTTCCAGAATAGATAGATTGTTTATAAGAAATAAGTTAATACGTCACAATTTTACATAGCTTTTTTGGAAATTGATCGGTGTACGAATACTTTATACACCCACCGTACTTACCCAGAAACTTTTAAAAAACTGGTATCTGTCGCAGTTTTCACTATTTCTGTATGCAAAAATTACTCGAGCTTCGTCGGAATATGCTTATTACAATAGACAAACTTTGCAAAACGAATCCCAACATTTTCTCTTCAAAAAATTCTCAAGGATATATGTTTTGAATTCTCTCAGGTAGGCGTATCGCCTTAGAAATTCCCTAAAAATTACCCACGATGGAGTCGCTCTTGCGTTTCC